TATGCTCTTTTCACTTAAGCCCAATAGCTTTAGTGAGAGTGAGCCCAAAGTCCAATTTTAACCCATGAAGCTTAGGGCTAGTTTTGGATTGGGCAGAGTATATAAACTCTCTTTCCTCCTAGTGCCGCCTAGGGTTACAGTCATCGGAAACACACCAAAGAGGCAGACGTTCATCATCTGAACAGTTGCCCATACGACCCCCTGATCCCCTTGAGTCAAAGCCTGAAAGAACAACCGTAGATCGAAATTGCAACCGTTCATGGTGCGTTGCTGCAAGATCGTGAGGCTTGACAAGGAGAACTGAAGGTGAGAAATTGTCACGCTCGCTTCTTCACCCCAGGTAATCAAAGCGGTGTCTTCATTCCTCATCGCATCGGTACGATGCGCTTCCGCGTTTCTGATGATAAACCTTCAAGAGTATTGACATAGACATAAAACTAATTATCATTATTTATATTTTTTATTTGTTACGAAATAACCTAGAATTCTTATAATGACCCAAAATTATTTAGAAAAGAAAATATGGAGTCGCCACCGATGTTAATTCGGGAAAACATCGAAAAAATATTTTTTCTTTATAAAGATGGACTTTGAAAACAGAAATGGATTTGAAAGTCTATTACGAGTAAGGAAAGTGTTAGCACTCTATTACGTCCACTTAAAAAATGGTGACCTTTAAATTAATTATGTAAATAATCAATAAATTTTAAAAAATGTTTCACTCTCAAAGAATAGAATTAAATAAATTTTTTTATTTATAAAAAAAAAATTGAATTGGGAAAAAAATTGGGCTTGACGAAAAAAAATTGTTTCGACTTTCGATGTATCCTTCGTTAAGTGCAATAGGAAACTCAAAGCCATGTTTTATTTTTAAATGTTTTTGTTTAAACCTTTTTATTAAATTGAAAAAAGATTTAGAAATGACTTTGTTTCTTGAAAAGGAATCCATTGTTGTATAAAGATTAGGAAATCATAGCTATACATAAACTCTTATAAAATTTACAACACTTGCGGATAGTGAGTTATATAATCAATGTTGTACATCAATGCCAAGATTGTGGAAATAAAGAAAATTACTAAATATATAGGAAATCATATCAATGTTTTAAAAATGAATTTATAACACCCAAGGTTTAAGTTAGCATAATTAACTATATAAAAATCTTTATCATATCTACTACATTAGGATGGAGTACCATACAAAAAATTTATACATCATTGTGCTGATTCAAATTTTGGAAAAGATGACTTCAATTTTATTTTTTTAATAAAGTAATTTTAAATAGTTAAACCCAAATCACAAAGATAAGAAAATATTTAAACAAAAACATGAAATGATGTTTTTATTAAAAAAAAAAGGCTTAGGACAAAAGTATTTTTCAATGGTGAGTTTTCATAGATACAAAGAGGTATGGATCCCACTGAAAGAAAAATAAAGACAAAAAAAGGTGTACGTCTCACCTTTTTGTGTCTATAAAATGGCACACCTTATATCATTTAAAATGACATATACTTTTTTCGTATATATATATATATATATATATATATATATCAAAAGAAATCAAAGGATCATTTTAAGTGCAGTGTTCAAATTGAGCCATTTAAACTACATCCTGCATTGAAACTTTGGGAGAATTGTAATTTTTTTTTCAAGACGAATGTTCTCCTCTTTATAATTTAAGTAGCAAAAGTATTTATGCCCTAATCATGCAAAAGACGGTTGAACGTGGTTTATCGTCAGATGAAACATATATCATTCAGCGAAGTAAGAGGAAAATCAAAGGGTGAAATGATGTTTTCTCTAATGATCATACTATAGTGCAACGAGAAGAGGAACAGATGGATGGCCAGACAAGTTTTAAGGAGATTTTAATGAAACATAATGGAGAATGAGAGTTAGAAGATGAGCAAAATTCAGATGAGGAAGATGGTACGTTGGTGGAGAAAAACTAGGAGGAACAACAGGAGAATCAGCCAAATCATACAGAGGTTATGATAGAAACTAGAGATGATGCTAAGACAAATTTTAAGTTGTCAAATCAGTTTAAGAAAAAGACGTGGAGATCCTGGAAACAAACTTGAGAACATGTGGGCAAGGGCAGGTAGGATTACTGTCACAGACATTGAGAATGATTATTTTTTGGTTAGATTTGAAAAGAATGATGATATGGAGTTTGCTTTATTAGCTAGGCCATGGATAATCTTTGATCACTATCTGGCAATTAGAATGATGGAACTAGATTTTCAAGCACTTCAAGCATCTATCAATCATGTAACTTCCTGGGTGAGATTGCCAAGTTTTCCTATTGAATATGTGAATACACCATTGATGAAAATAGTGGGAAATTGGCTAGGGAAGTTTGTAAGATTGGATGCTACGACTACTACGTTGGTTAGAGGAAAATTTTCTAGAATTAGCGTGGAGTTGGATCTTAGTCAACCTTTGAAGAGTGAATATTATATTGAAGGGAGATATAAGCAAGTGGAGTATGAGGGTTAGCACCTCATCTGCTTCTGTTGTGGCAAATATAGACATAACTCAGAAGCATGCCCCAATGCTTCTAAAACTGAAACGCATGTGCAAATGGATGGAGCGAAAACATCAAACATGGAAAGTGATCAAACTGATGAAGGCATAAGAGATGGAGAGGATAAAACTTCCAAGTTTGGTACATGGTTGGTCGTCTCTAGGGCTCGATAAGGAAGATTTCAGAATGGTAAAGGAGGAAACGTCAATGGGAATAAGGTTAGAGAAGCGTAGCCGAGAAGAACATCAAACACCAAGTTGATAAACCTGGGGAATATAAAGGATGGTGTAACATCCCGGCACTGACGAGGGCGGGGAGTGATTGCCGGTGCTAAAGGGCATGGACAAGGAGTGGCTCTTGATAGGCTTCCAGCGGGGGGTTACATGCATGAATGAATCGAATCGACACCTGAAAGAGAGGAATTCTAAAGACTGTGCAGGTATGAGACTGCATGGTTTAGGATAGCTTATAAGAATTAATTGGTACTACCTATACTAACAAGATGTATCTACTTTTCGGTAGCCCAGAACAGAATAACTCCATAGTTAAGCGTGCTTGACTTGGAGCAATTCTGGAATGGGTGACCTACTAAGAAAACTTCTCAGGAAGTGTGTGAGTGAGGAAAAAGCACACTGAAAAGTCTCGTGTTAGTATATGGGGATAGTCATTGATTCTTGAAGCGACTGGACGCTACAAGTGGTATCAGAGAAGGTCTCTCTTCCAGTACGGTGTGATTCGAGGACGAACCAGGCGGAAGCTGGTGGGTATGTAACATCCCGGCGCTGACGAGGGTGGGGAGTGATCGCCGGTGCTAAACGGCATGGATAAGGAGCGGCTCTTGACAGGCCTCCAGCGGGGGGTTACATGCATGAATGAATCGAATCGACACCCAAAACAGAGGAATTCCAAAGACTGTGCACGTATGAGACTACACAGTTTGAGATAGCTTATAAGAATTAATTGGTACTACCTATACTAACAAGATGCATCTACTTTTCGGTAACCCAGAATGGAAGAACTCCATAGTTAAGCGTGCTTGACTTGGAGCAATTCTGGGATGGGTGACATCCTGTGAAAACTTCCCAGGAAGTGTGCGAGTGAGGAAAAAGCACATTGAAAAGTCTTGTGTTAGTATGTGCGGATAGTCATTGATTCTTGAAGCAGCCGAACGTAGGGCCTCTCTTCCAGTACGGTGTGGTTAGAGGATGAAACAGGCGGAAGCTGGTGAGCATGTAACATTCCGGCGCTGACGAGGGCGGGGAGTGATCGCCTGTGCTAAAGGGCATGGACAAGGAACGACTCCTGACAGGCTTCCGGTGGGGGGTTACATGCATGAATGAATCGAATCGACACCCGAAAGAGAGGGATTCCAAAGATATACATGTATGAGACTGCACGGTTTGGGATAGCTTATAAGAATTAATTGGTACTACCTATACTAAAAAGATGTATCTATTTTTCGGTAGCAAGAACTCCATAGTTAAGCGGGCTTGACTTGGAGCAATTCTGGAATGGGTGACCTCCTGAGAAGTCCACCCAGGAAGTGTGCGAGGGAGGAGAAAGTACACTGAAAATTCTCGTGTTAGTATGTAGGGATAGTCATTGATTCTTGAAGCGGTCGAACGTACAAGTGGTATCAGAGAAGGGCCTCTCCTCCAGTACGGTGTGGTTCGAGGACGAACAAGGCGGAAGCTGGTGGGCATGTAACATCCCGGCGCTGACGAAGGCGCTGAGTGATCGCCGATGCTAAAGGGCATGGACAAGGAGCAACTCCTGACAGGCTTCCAGCGGGAGGTTACATGCTTGAATGAATCGAATCGACACCCGAAAAAGATGGATTCCAAAGACTGTGCAAGTATGAGACTGCACGATTTGTGATAACTTATAAGAATTAATTGGTACTACCTATACTAACAAGATGCATCTACTTTTTGGTAGCTCAGAACGGAAGAAGTCTATAGGTAAGCGTGCTTGACTTGGAGCAGTTCTGGGATGGGTGACCTCTTGGGAAGTTTTCCCAGGAAGTGTGCGAGTCAGAAAAAGCACATTGAAAAGTCTCGTGTTAGAATGTGGGGATAGTCATTGATTCTTGAAGCGACCGTGCGTTACAGATGGAAATGAGGCAAAGAAATGTGATTAGAAGCAAGAGAGTGCAATAACTAAAGTAGGAAGTCAAGGGCCATCTATTCAAACTGAAAGTTCAAAAAAGAAGAAGTTAGGGAGAAAGTTCAATTGGTAGAGACAGTATCTGAGTACAAACTTGTGTGGGAAGGGAGATAAGATGATAATTTCCTTTTTCAGGGACATGCCGAAAGAAAAAGTGATATTGAAGGCACAAGTAAAGTGTATAAAGTTGTAAGAAAGGTGTCTGTTGATCAGATTTAAGAGGATATAATGGAAGTTGATATTTCATAAAGGAGCCAGCACGCCTAGCCAAACACAAAATTACCATCTAGTGAGGTGGTTGGTCATATGGTAGAAGAGAATACATCAAGTATGAGGAATATAGAAAGGGAACCCAGACCTCCAGATCCTGGTCCTATTCGCAAATCAGTGGAGCTTTCAAAAGGTAACGAAGTTTCACAGATGACGAATACTACAAAGTTTAAGAATAATATGTTGTAGGTGCAATCTCATCCTGCATCGAACTCCCAACCTTTTTAATGTCTTTCATCTTTTGGAATTGTAGAGGGGCAGCCAAGTCTAAATTTGGTTGTACCCTCAAAATGATGGTTGGAAAACATAATGTGTGTCTGGTTACCTTAATGGAAACTAGGATAAATGGAAGTAATTTTAGTAAGCTTATGAGAAAGATAAACTTTGATAAAGTTATAGTTGAAGAAGCTATTGGATTTTCTGGTGGAATTTGGGTTATGTGGGACTTTAGGGGAACTAAAGTGGAAGTCATTAGTCAATCCAATCAGTATATTCACATAGGAATTGAGATTGAAAATATTAGACGTTTTATACGCACGACTATCTATGATAATCCTCAAGAGGTAATTAGACATGAAATGTGGGAGAAAGTGAAATTCATCAGTCAATCAACTAACGAGCCTTGGATAATGGCGGGTGATTTTAATGATATAAGGTGTAATAGTGAAAAAAACGAGGCTCAAACACTTATATTGCAAAATGCCAAAGATTCCAATCCTTCATAGATAGTTGTCAAGTGGAAGAGGTGACTTGTTTGGGAGCAAAATTTACATGGCAGGGTCCAAAGTGGAATCATCTTGATAGGGTATTTAAGAAACTTGATAGGGTCTGTGCAAATATATTGTGGAGATTGAAATTTGATGATGCTGCAATTCAAGTTCTTCCCAGAATTCTATCGGATCACAATCCCCTTCTTTTATCCATGAAAAATCATATGCAAGGTTGGAGTGATAGGCCATTTAGATTCATGGCATCTTGGATGGATCACCAAGGATTTGGAAGTCTAATAGAGGACAAGTGGTATTCATATATCGAAGTAAACCTTATGCTCTCTAATTTTACTCCTCATTTAAAAAGGTGGAATAGAGATGTATATGGGAATAGTAATAATAGAAAGAGATATCTAGCTGATAAAACCGTAGATATTCAGATCCAAAAAGAATATGGAGACTACCCAAGACTGCAGGAATTAGAGGGTCAACTGCATAATAATTAGAATTTAACGCTTGATCAGGAGGAACTTATGTGGTTTCAGAAATCTAGACACAAGTGGATCGTTAATGGGGATAAAAATACTAGATTTTATCATCTCAAGACTATGATGAAGAGGTGCAACAACAAGATTACAAGACTCAAAAATAGTTTGAGTGAGTGGATAGAAGACCCTTGTGAAATAAAAGAGCACGTTTGCAGGTTTCATAAAGATATTTTTTCGGAGGAAATGCATAATCGTAGACGGATCATGTCTGATAATGTGTGGCAAAGATTGGAACAGGAAGAGCTGAAGGCGTTAGTGGTACCTCCCAATGATTATGAAATATGGAAATGTCTATCCTCAATGGGAGCTTATAAAACCCCTGGCATAGATGGATATCCTGCCATTTTCTTTTAGAGGCAATGGCACAAAGTGAAAGATCAAGTTTGCACTGCAGTCAAAAGAATGTGGGATCAACCAGAAGTAATTGGCGAGATTAACTCAACTCTCTTAGTTCTGATTCTTAAGACTAAGAAGCCAGATAAAATTGTTCAGTTTAGACCAATTGCATTATGTGTAGTCTTATATAAACTTTAGTCCAAGACTATTATTTCAAGACTTAAACACATCATGAAGAAGATTGTTTCACCCTATTAGGTCAGCTTCATCCCCAACCGAAAAATTCAGGATACTATCACAATTGTGCAGGAACTCATTCATTCCATGAACAAGATGAGGGGCAGAAAGGTTACATGGCCATCAAGATTGATTTAGTCAAAGCGTATGATTGAGTTTGCTGGAAATTCTTGCTCAGAACTTTGGACGAGATCTGATTTCCAGAAGTTTTAATCAATATCATTATGAAGTGTGTGACAACGTCTCGCATTAATGTTTTATGGATTGGAGGAAAAATGGGTGATTTTGATCCTTCTAGAGGCTTACACCAAGGGGATCCCCTATCCCTGTATCTATTATGGGAAGTATCTGAAGAGATTGTCTCTTGGGAGTGTCATTGGACGCTCAATCTGGTAAGGGATTCATTATGGAGTCTCGGTGTACAAGTTACACAATGACATACATGTTGGTAATAATGTGACTAATAAGATTGTCCTGGGCTTCCCTTGTGGATTGGATCCGAAGAGGTGTTGCTCTTGGAAGTCCCAGGCGTGCACCGCTCGAAGTTGAGACCCACCTGGCGATCCTTGTGTGCTGACTGCGTGGACTAGTGAATGATGGCACTCCTCATGCCATAATGAAGTATGCAGAGAAAAAGTGATGGTATTTCCAATGAAGTAGATATTTTACAGTCACAAAGAGGAGGGGTGATTAAGAAGATTGATGAGTTGCTCTACAGTGTTGAGCATAGTTTTTATGAGCCATAATAGACAATGGATTGGAACTGTAACAGGATACATGAGTTATTAAGAGTTGGAAAATAGGTGCAGAATTATGAGAAAGATGTTGGAATCATGTAATGATGATTATGTTATGGACTAGGTCTGATGACTAGTCAAGTTAAATGAGTAGACCATTCGTGGAAAGGAACATACCCAGGAAGTCCTAAAACATACAAAAGCATGTAACACAGCATTTCCAAAACATCAAAAGCATGTAACATAGCATGCATGTACCATACCCCCATGGGACATGATGGAACCACAACATGGCTAAACCGAGGACACAAAAGCTTACCTTGCAAGCTAACACCCAAAGCCAAAAGTCCACAGCTCAAAGTCCAAACACAGCAGATTCACAATCTGTTATGAACCAATACTATATCAATAATAATGCACCACAAGCATATAACTTAAAGACCACGCCTTTCCTTTACGTTTTACGTCTTAAGGCTCCATACCAAGCCATAAGCCTTTAATCACTTGATTCTAACTTAGTTCATTAATTACAGAAGTTCAACTTCATCAATCTAGGGTCCACAAACCCCCAATAGCCTACTGTACACACAACACAGCTACTGTTCTACGAAATCCCAGAATATCCGAATATTCCACGGGGCATATCCGGATATCGCAGTGGCCATATCCGGATATCAATATCCGGATATCCAGATCCCCATATCCGGATATCAAATATCCGGATGTCCAAATCCCATATCCGGATATCACATATTCGGATATTTATCGTGCAGATATCCGGATATTTCACGACAGAATGCAGAAACTGCATTTCGTGAAGATATCCCTCCAAGGTACCATTTTTACCACTATCAAGTGTTAGAGCATGCATCTTTATACTGTTTTAGGGTCATACTACTGTTGGTTATTTTTTTAACTCTTTTAAACATGACAAGACACCTCTTTTACTCATCAAACACATGATTAAGGTTGGTACAACTCACCAAAGCTCAAAACAGAGGAACGAAGGCTCTTGGAGCTCTCAAATCTGCCTCTACAGGTCTGACCTTCAAGGCACACGAAAATGGTGATCAAGAGTGATCCTTTCACACAAAAGTTCACTCCTTGAAGCTTCCACAACCAACACAAATCCCCAACCACACCAACACAAGAACTCAACCCCAAACCTTGACTCACACCAGCTCCCACAACTCAGAAGATGGGACCTCAACCTCCCAAGACACTCACCCAAGTGTTTACTCAACCAAAGAGAAGAAGAAATGGAGCAAAGGTGGCAACTTGGCTCACAAATGGAGGAGAAAGGGTGACAAAGGGGTGGCTGACTTCAAGCTCAGCAACACTCACGTAGAGAAAATAGTGGCACCAAGGGTTTAGTGCCCACTAAGGCTTATATAGGCGGTTAAGTCACTTAACACACATTATAACTTTAATTGCTATGCTTAGCATTTTAATCCTAAACTTTGGAACCTGAAACTACACATTTTTCAGAGAATTATCATATTTTTATAATATTTTTCTGAGCACTTTTCCGGTACGCGCTTTTCATATCAGTATCAGTTTCTAGCACCAGTTCTCATTATTTGGACTTGAAACTCGATTTGCATGTCCTACATATTATTCTAGTAATTATCATGCACTTACATTAATTTTCCGGGATACTTTTTCGGTACGCATTTATACTGACTAGCAGAACTGGTATCTGCACTTTTCTTCCGAAAAGCGACTTTCAGCATTCTTAATCACTTACCATAATTATTAAAGCCTCTTAATAATTATTAGGGTCAATTATGGAATCATTTCCTATTTTCACATAATTAATTAATTAAATACCTTAATTAACGGTGCGAGTTCTTACAAAGTGCACAGGAATGAAATATATGTGGAATTTATAGCAAGAGTATTGAACGATATTTAGACATGGTGGTTAATGGAAGTCTTAGGCATATACCTATAATGTGATAAATCAGTGATGAACTGTATGTTAAGCCTTAAGATGGCTAAGTTGAGAAAGAAATGAACAATTGATGGGAAGTATTAGCATGACCTTGTACGTAGAAGTTCATAGTGGAACTGTTGTTGAAGGCTTTGAAATGGCCAATGTGATATGCAAACTATAATGAGTGGTCCATTAGGTAACAGTTCAATGTGTTGGGAATTGATTCGCCAATGTGCTTTCGTGGAAGTTAGTGAACCTGTAGGGTCAGATTCGACAATTGGGCACAGAAACGGTGCCTGTTTTATAGCAAGTGCAGAAGTGGAATTGCACGTTCTAGATTAAGAACATGAGTAAAGATGTGTATGTACAACCTGGGGCTAAAGGCCATAAATAGAGATTATTCCCTCGGAGAATGGGATTACCACGAGCGGGAACTATATTATTAAATCGGTGAAATTGCGCCGAGGAACTGTTGAGATACTGAAACGTTATTTAATGTGAACTAAGATGTTTAGAAAACTTGATTGTATAACAAAGTAAAACTATGTGATAAGTGGTACTAAAAAGGATTTAATGACGAAAGCCCTAGAGTTCGCAGGTGTAAAATCAATCGAAGGATAAGTACTGGATAAAATGTGTCGGAGATTGATATGTGCCTATGAGGCACGACTTGAATTGGACTGGATGTGATCCTACGTGGACATTGTTTCCAAGCTAACTAGATTAGCACACTTTCCCAAAAGAAATTATGGGCCCCATATGTAAGATCACCCAACTTGTGAAAATGAATTGGTAAATCAGAGGAAGTTCGCAACTGCGACGTATGCTCGGGATGATCACATGTGATGATATCGGATGATATTGAAATTTGGGGAGGACTTGAAGTCTCCCATTGGTCCCATTGAAATACTGGGCCATAGTGAAAAGAGGCTGAGAAGCAAGATAATTGCAATGTTAAGATTAGGTAAGAAGCCCGCACACCTAAAAAGCTACTTGGGAACGGGAGAATGAGATTCTCCGGCTGTATCCTAAGTTAGCGTATAAGTATAACTTAATTTTGCGGACAAAATTCCAAAAAGGTGGGGTGAATATAACACCTCGTAATCTAAATGTGAATTTATATGCTATAATGTGGGTTAAAAGGGAAGGATTAGTGAAAATCCGGAGATTAAGGCCGAACTGTGTGAAAATGGCAAAATAGTAATTTACCAAACACGTAACTCGAGGCATGAAAAATGGAGTAGGAGATCTCAAATGATAAAAATAATGCCAGAAATGGATTCAGGACGCAAAATCGAGTGGATAGGCAAGTTTCGGGAAATTTGATGAATAGTGATTTTACCGGTGTAAAAATACTGCGGTATAATTGGATCGATAAGCGTGAAAATATTGTCAATATTTTTAGGAAACAAAAATATGACATGAACGAGAAAAATACGTAGGTTATGAACTTATGGTTTAAATTAGATGATTATGTCTTAGAATGATGTATTTGAGCTAGAAATGCAATAAAAATTATTGGTGAAAATATGTTCATAACTTATGAAATTTTGCATGATGTCATGAAATTGTGATTTTGGATTGTTAATAGGATTGTGTAATTGACTTAGGGAGAAATTGTATGAAGTGATTCTATGATTATAGGATGTGTAGAAATGTTGGAATGGGTTGAAAATCCTTTGGGACCCTAGCTTGAAGAATTCGACCTATTG